CAGTACCAAAGTGCCTATAATCAGGTCGGACTGGTTGGCTGCGAAGCCCTGCTCCTCAACGTCCCGTTTGAAGTCTATCACTGAGATGCTCATCCGTGCCTTTGAGGGCATGATCTCTTTGAAGACTTCTATGCGAGACTTTGGCGAGGCGAGGGTATAAGATGAAAACCCCGGGTTGATGTCTTGGAAGATTGATGCGGTCAAGCTTAGGTTGCTTGCGTCTGACTGGGAGTTAGCTTACTATCCCTCGTGCTTCATCTTCGGGCCAGTGATAGACTTACTGAGTTCAACAATATTCATTGCCGGATACCGATGCGACAGACGACGAAGCAACCGGCCCAGCTGGCTGTTGGAGCTAGCCACACCCAAGCCTTGCTGAAAGTATTGGGAAAGAAGATCGGTTTCCCAAAGTTTCTGCACATGGCTAGCTGTATGTTCCTGGTCGCCCTGGGACAGGAAGTTTACGGTGTCAGTCAAGATAGTTAGATCGATATTCCCTGAGTCGGACCAATCGGGTTGTTCAACAGCAGCGGAGTCTGCTCCCTCAATTGTAGTAGAGCCATCCTCCTGTGACTCAGCAAGTGCAAGCAGATGGCCCTTGATTCTGGCGATACCAGCAGCATATTTATCGGCGGCCTCATCGAGGCTGGGGATGTCGACAAGATGCTTGTGCGCGGCTGCAATGATTTTCCTTCCTTCCTTCTCCTCCTCAACAGTGGGTGACGAAGAGACCAGGGCCGGATCATTAAGATCAGCATTCTCCCAGATTTCACTCGCGAAGAGCGCCCTGTCGTCCGCAGCCGTAGGTGGTACGACTGGAATGATGGTGATCTGCTCGACTCGAATAGCGGCGGGCTCATTAGCCGTGCGCGACAACGTGATGTCTCCATTTATAGAGGCCTTCAAGCCTTCTTCGGACTCGGTGTGGAAATGAAGCTTCTTCTCGGAGGTCGCGCACAATGCCGGATTTACCTGCACGCGTTTGATGCTTGTCGGGACGTGCAGCGACGAAAGACGGCCATCTCCCGGCCAACTGTAGGCTAGAAACACTGACTGGAAAGAGGCGTCCAACATAGCAGGGTGAACAAGCACGCCGGTAAGTCTTTCAGCATCAGATGCAGGCTGATAAACAACACCGGTGCTGAGATTGAGGTATCGTGCCAAGTTATCTAGTGCTTTGAAGGGCCCAGTGTAATCATAACCGAGCTCTTTCAACCCGTCATAGAACCTTTCCCCATCCACCCGAATAACATCCTCAAACACTTGGCATGCAGAAGGGAGGGTGTCTTCGTGAGGAGTGTCCAATGTGACACAGACGCGACCATGCGCTGCCATGATGAGAGACTTGGATCCACGGCCAGCAGTGGTATGACAGTTGAACGTGGCGGTCAAGAGTCCATCAGAGCCTTCTTGCGATTCACGCGCGATGTTTGCAAGTGTCACGACAACATCTGCTCCAGCAGCATCCTCATCGAATGTGATTGGCCGATCGATGACGAGGTCAAGGACCTCTATCAGGGATATGCTATGCTCGGGGCCCACGACCGACCTACTTGCTTCAATTGCCATCGAAATGTACCCTGAAGCAGGGAAAATGGTTTGTCCTTGCAGAGAATGTCCCCGTAGCCAAGGGATCTCTTTGAGGGATAGGATATTCCGCCATTGGACATGATCCGGGTTGCTTGTTTGACGATTTCCCAGCAGGGGATGTGGGAAAGAGTCGCGAAACAGTTCATCATGTATAACACGAGATTCGTGCCAGAAAGGACGACTATGATCCCAAGGGTAGGACGGCAGGTTTCGTACGAGCTGGTATCTTTCATTGGTATCCGAAAAGCCCGCTTGCAGGGTGGGAAGCTTCAGTGCATCACGTCCAAACCGAGCCCATATGAAACTCATAGCATCGGCAAAGGCTTTTGTGTCATGGGAATTGCGCTGTAGCACCCCTGTATAGGGCAGCTCCCGTTTGAGCGCGTCCTGGATAGTCGCAGTTGCAGGTCCCTTCAGCGCGGGATGCGGACCCACCTCGAGAACCAGATGATAAGGATCATCGGACTGCTGGATTGCCTTGGTGAGTGCCTGTGAGAACAACACCGGACGGCACATGTTCTCGACCCAATATTGTCCCTCGAGGCCTTCAGCGCCAGTGATTAGATTCCCGTCATACACACTCGAGTACCACGAGCAGCGAGGCTCCTTCACCTGGATGCGTAAGGCCTCCAAGGAACTCCCATACGGGACCGCACAAGGGTGCATATGATGAGAGTGATAGGCCTTGTCGACAATCAACGGGCGCGCGAACTTCTTCTCATCCTGGAAGACAAGGTGTGCTTGGTTGACAGCATCCTTATCGCCCGAAATTGTCACGCTCGCCGCGGAGTTGCTAGCAGCGACCGTCAGTCTGCCGGAAAAGGTAGGCAGCTCGCACAGCTCTTGGGCGTCTTCCATAGATGTTCCGACCGCAAGCATACCCCCCGGCTCTCCCTGTTGGCCGCCTGCCTGCGCTGTGTGCAATCCGCGATAGTACGCGATCCAAATGGCCGCCTCGTCCGAGATACACTCGGCGGCATATGCTGCTCCAATCTCGCCGGATGAGTGACCGACAACCGCGGAGAACTCAATTCCTGCCGCTTTCAAGCAGTCCACAAGAAGGATCTGGACTGCGGTGCACAACGGCTGGGATAGACGTGCTTCTCCAACTTTGGCCGCAGGAGATAGCATTTCCTCTTTAAGCGACCACGTCGGACGATCCTCCTCAGGTAGACGAGATAAAGCTTTTTCTAACTCGTCCGCGCGACGCTCTAGCCAAGGGGAGCTTCTGATAAGTTCGCGTCCCATTGTGGGCCACTGGGCTCCTTGTCCGGTAAAGACGCCTAGCACGCGTGGCTGAGCCTGGCCGATACTGACAGGCTTCACAACTGGAGACTGACTGCCCGTCCGAATCTTATCCGCGCTGACAAAGAGGCTATTAGCTAGATCTGAGGAGTTGGTTCCGGAACAGGCAGCTCGGACTGGCCACAAGCTCCGACGCAGGTACAGTGTCCACGCGAGATCCGCCAGATCGGTATCGGGGTGCTGTCGAAGATGGGTGGCAAGCCTTTCCATCATGTCGGCCAGAGCCGATTCGGACTGTGCTGAGAAGACGAACGGCATGATGACAGAGTCACTGCGTCTGGGGCGTCGCTGCTGAAGGTTTGAATAGCTCTCCAAGACGGCGTGGGCGTTGGTTCCACCGAACCCAAAACTGTTGACGCTGGCTCGACGAACTGGGCCTGAATGGGCTGGCCACTGTTGCAGCTCAGTCGGAATCCGCAGACGCGTCCAATACGGCTCAATCTCGGGGTTCAAGGTGCGGAAATGCATGTTGGGAGGGATCTGAGCATTTTGAAGTGCCAAGGAAGCTTTGAAGAGACCTGCCAAACCAGCAGTACCCTCCGTGTGTCCGATGATCGTCTTGATGGAGCCGACTTTCAGATTGGCATGTTCGTCTTCGTCTGCCCCCGGTCCAAAGAAAGCATTAAAGATAGCCCTCGCCTCTTGCGGATCTCCTGCCTTGGTGCCCGTGCCATGAGCTTCGAAGAATTGCGGCCGATCTTTGACGAGATCCAAGCCACCGGCTTTGTATGTCTTGCGAATCAATTCGGCTTGAGCGTCGCTGCTGGGCATGGTGATACCTTTCGTACGCCCATCCTGGTTGACGCCCGTGGCCCTGATCACACATTCAATACTGTCACCATCCTTCAGTGCCGTTGACAGCTTCTTCATAACGATCGCAGCGACACCATCACCACGGGCGTAACCATTCGCACGCTCATCCCACATGCGAGATCGACCGTCGGGTGAGAGCATCTTCAGCTTGCTTTCAGCAATGTACGGCTCAGGTCCGAGAAGAAGATTAGAACCAGCAGCAACGGCAACACGAGACTCGCCTGCCCGGAGAGCCTGGATTGCCTGGTGAACGGCAACCAAACTGGATGAGCATGCGGTGTCGATTGTCCAGGAAGGGCCATGCCAGTCAAATGCATACGAGACTCGATTCGCCAATATTGCTCGGGAGGTTCCAGTTGCAAAATAAGTCGGAAGCGTATCCATATCGCGAGTAAGAATGTCGTTGTAGTCAGCACACATCTGGCCTACAATGATAGCGGTATTCGATCCCCTGAGGCTCTCTACTGGCAGGCCGCCGGATTCTAGAGCTTCGAAAACAACCTCAAGTAGGAGCCTCTGTTGGGGATCGATAGCCGCCGCTTCATTCGCGCTAATCTGGAAGAAACTGGCGTCAAAGGTTCGTACATCCTCCGTCAATGTATACGCATGTCGAACATTGCTGGAGCCGTGATGCAATCCGTCTGGATGATAGAAACCAGCTGCGTTGTAGCGATCAGCTGGGATCTCGCGCAGGACGTCCCGGGGCTTTGATAGTAATTCCCAGAGCTTGGCGGGTGAATCTGCCTGTCCGGGAAATCGGCAGCCACTGCCAATGATTGCGATAGGCTCAGTAGACATGTTATCGATCCCTGAACAAGCTTTGCTGGTTGACTTGTTCTCGTTGGGCAATGTCTCTTCCTGCAGCGCAAACAGCCATCATCTTTTATATTATGGCACACTCGATGAAACATCTCGGGTTCGGGTAATCAAAAGACGGTGTGATTGAGTATCTTTCCGATATCACGCTAGATTGACAACTAGATTGATTAGGTGTGCTGATACAGTAAGCCGGATGGTGAAGTCTTAAGGTGTGTTGTTTCCGATGAGTGTGAATGTGGGTGTGTGAGCGATGGAAACTGGATTTGAATGCCTGAGGCAGCGAATTCGGGGACATTTTGCAACCATATCGACATACGGACTCGGAATCTGCAACTGCAAAATGTCTCCGAACATCTCAAAAAGACCGCGGAGATGGATTTCTCGAAACTTTTACTCTTCGCTTTTCCTGGGTCGCAAAGAATCCAAATCTTCTATCATTACGCACTCCGACTTGCGATTCACCGAATAACGCGATGGAAACCAGGAACAGTCCTCCCGAGTCGGTTGATACACCAGCCGAGGTCTCGGACGATGCGCCAAAGTTGACCTTCAAACATGATCTTCGTTTTTGGTTGGTCTTCGTTGCGCTGTGTGTGACTTCCTTGCTCGCTGCTCTCGAAGGAACTGTCACGTCCACTGCTCTTCCTACCATTGTCGCTGATCTTCACATCGGCGACAATTACCCATGGGTGTCCAACGCCTACTTTTTGACTACGTACGTGAAATACCTTCATTGCGCAAGTTTGCTGTTGAGTACAAAGTCTGATGTTTTTGATCCTACATAGGGCATGCTTTCAACCGCTTTACGGACAACTCTCCAATGTCCTGGGTCGCCGGTATCCCATGATTTTCTCCGTCGTCGTCTTCATCCTCGGCAGTGGGATTTGCGGAGGTGCCTCGAGCGCGGCCATGCTCATTGCTGGTCGTGCGGTTCAAGGCATTGGAGGAGGCGGAATCAATATGCTCATCGATCTCATTATCTGTGACCTGGTCCCCTTGACTCAGCGAGGCGCATACATTGGGCTGCTGTTTGTCGTCTTCGCCATCGGCACATCACTGGGCCCATTCATTGGCGGTGCCATTGTCAACAACACCAGCTGGCGATGGGTCTTCTACCTCAATCTTCCGATCGGAGGAGTGGGTCTGGTTCTACTGATCCTCTTCCTGCAAGTGAACTATAACCGTGAGATGTCCATTGGGGAGAAGCTGAAGCGCTTGGATTACCTCGGAAACATGCTGCTGATTGGCGCAATTGTCTCTATTCTGATTGCGCTCAGTTGGGGCGGCACTCGTTATCCCTGGTCCTCAGGCCACGTCCTCGCACCTCTAATTATCGGTCTCCTTGGAATTCCAGCATTAGTTCTCTTCCAAGCAACTCCGCTTGTCAAAGAGCCGACCACCCCGTTGCGACTGTTCAGCAACCGCACTTCCGTCATAGCGTTCTTCAACACCTTCATGCACGGCCTCCTCAGCTTCTGGATCTTATACATGCTTCCGGTCTACTTCCAGGCCGTCCTGCAATCCTCGCCCGAGCGCGCCGGTGTACAGCTTCTCCCAACCGTGATCTCCATGATCCCTGTCGCCGGAGTATCGGGCGCAATTCTCTCCAAGACAAGCAACTACAAAGCGCTCCACATCGTCGGCTTTGCCCTCCTCACAATCGGCCTCGGCACTTTCACAGTGCTAGGCCCCCACTCCTCCACAGCAGCCTGGACGCTGACGCAGATGGTCGCTGCGTTCGGCGCCGGAACGATTATGCCCGTCCTTCTGCCCGCGGTCCAGGCCGGGCTCGAGGAGAAAGACACGGCGACTTCCACGGCACTATGGGCCTTTGTGCGCAGCTTCGGCATTATCTGGGGTCTGTCTGTGCCCGCAGCCATCTTCAACAATCAATTCGACAAGTTTGCCTCGTCGATCAGCGACAGCTCGGTACGTGACATGCTTACCGGGGGTAATGCATACTCTTACGCCTCGAGTGCGACCATCAATGCGCTCCCAAGCCAGGTGCGAGCCGAGACCATCGACGTGTATTCCCGCAGTCTGCGGGTGGTGTGGCAGGTCTCCATCGGTTTTTCGGGGTTGTCATTTCTTCTCTGCTTCTTGGAGAAGAACATCAAGTTGCGCTCGCATTTGGAGACGGATTACGGGCTGAAAGAGAAGGAAGCAAAGAAGGGTTCGGATGGAACTTTGCCGCCTGCCTGAATCGCGTGTTCAGGATAACCGTGTAATCATAGAGGCATTACGGTCAACGTGAGAGATGTCTTTGAATTTGCATGTTAGTATTTCGCTGGCGCCCTTGTAAGGAAGGCTATGGCACTCCTGTGGGCGGTTAGCGAGGCAAGACTATTTAGTAATTAAGGAATAGAGTAGTTCACTATACGGTGTCCATGATTCAACACTTTAAGATAGAGAGATAGTGCCTGATTTACGAGAATGCTCATTGATACTGACTATTTAATGGTACCAAGCTTGTATTTTACATCTCAAGACCTGAATTTCTTTCGTTGTAATTCTGCTCGTAAACAGCAGCTGGTATCATATTGCCCATCCTGTATCCTTACTTCTGTCCCTAACCATGTATATCTTCAATACTCCGCTTAACATCCCACTGTTCATCCAAGAACTGAAACAACCTCTGCTGAAGAAGACGCCACGCACCGACCTTACCCTGCAACCCACCATCTCCCGCATCCCTCGCAATCCAGAGATGCCGTTTCTTCTCTAGCAAATGATCCAACGCCTGCTCAATTCTCAACGTACTAATCTCTGGCGCAGTGTAAATAGTCTGCGCTGCCCCAGTAATCATAACCCCACACTTCACCTGACGAAGATACTCTCCGGATTCCTCATCACCCTTCAACGAATACCTCTGCATCTCCCGCGTAGCCGCCGCCGGCGACGACTTCCCAAAGATCCACATAACATGAGTCAACTCCCACTTGAGCTGGAAATTCCACCGCGACAACATCCGCCACGTCGCATCGAACATCCCGTCGGTGATCCAGCCCGCGAGCCAGGCCCGAATAAACCAAGGCGGCATGCGCGACGTAGCCAGGTCGAACATATCGTAGAAAGGATCCACGGCGATGCACGCTGAGATGCGAGGATCCACGGCGCCTCGCAGCGCATAGTACGCCCCCATGGACACCCCGACCAGCGCAATCCGCGAGAGATCCAGCAACCACTCAGAATGCTCCTCCGCCAGCTGCTCCACATAATCCAGCACGGGGGTAGTCACCTCCTCCCAGTCCGGGCGCATGGCACTCCTCCCTTGGCGCAAACTGGCGCCCTGCCCCGGCCCATCGAACAGCAGAACCGCATATCCGCGATCGCATCCGCTCGCCCCGTAGAGCAGATACAGCTCCTCGGACGTCGAATCCGCTCCATTGATACACACAACCACAGGAACCTTCCGACCAGTCTCATTGCCCTGGCGCGGTAAAAACAAATACCCCGGCAAATGCCCATCCTGGTACGGAATCTCCAGGACGTGCGTCCTGTGCGCCAAGATCGGAATCGCATGATGAAATGCATTGACACTCCGTGCGAAAAACTCCGGCACGCGCGGATCCGGACTCCATGGCCTGTCATTGAACATGTATTGGCTGGCTCGGAAATAGTTGGCGGCGCGCAGGAAGGCGTCGCGGGCCGCAATGCAATCGCCGTGCTCCACAGCCTCCAGGGCTATAGCGTTCGCCTTCTCGGCCTGGATAAGCCAGCCCCGATGCCAGCTCTCCGGGTCATCGCTGGTGATTTGCGTGGCTGCGTCGAGGCATTCTGCGAGCTCGGCCCCCCCGAAGGCGATTGTGCCGACTACTCGCGTGAACTCGAAGTTGAAGAAGGAGGAGGGGAAAAATTGATACATGTTGGGTTTAGGACTACTTTGAGAGAATAGGGATATGTATACGTTAATGATGGCGGTCATAAATTAGTGGTTCTTGTATCGGAGACATTTTGCATCAAGTAGGGCCGGATTGGGCAAGTCTCGGACAATGAACGGGGGTTTTCATCTTTCGTCGCTTAATTACAACCGTGATCGGTGTCGGAAGTATTCGAATCTCGGAGGACTTTGGCTATTGGTTTGCTCTATATAATGAGACAGGAACGCGTTCCTGATGCCTGAGTTCTTCTCCTCATCCACAACTTCAAAGCCCTTGTCCATCTCCCACCCTTCTCCCCAAACCCACCAAAAGCCCAACATGTCTGAAACTGAATACAAAAAAGTCCTCCGCCTCGCAGGCTCCTACTACAAACTCCCTGAGGTCTCCGAGGAGGATTTCCACGCCTTCATTTCAAGCGACCACGCAGTCAAGGCCGCCAAGATCCACGAGAAATACGGGATCCTCCACTACCAATTGGTTCGTACTCATTGCCCACAAGACCCCTCGAAAGTACATGCAACAATATAACTCAAGATGTCATTCATAGGCAATCGGAAGCAGCCAAACTCGCGAGCTGGCTTACGGCCTGAAGCTTCCCTGGAAGATCGACGACCACGACGTGACCATCGAATACTACTTCACCGATGTGTCTGCCCTCCTCGCCGTGTCCGCGGATGAGGAATTCAAGGCTCTGCACGTCGATGCCGAGAAGTTCGTTCGCCTTGATGCGACCACTGTGGCCGTGACCTGGGTGGAGGTGTTCCTCAAGGATGGGAAGCTGGTTAATATCGGCCCGGATGGAAAGTCCCAGCACCCGCCTTTTGCGGAGCGGATTGATTTCGCGTTGCCGGATAAGCCGGCGGCTAAGTATTATTAGTTTTTGTACTTAGGATGGGTAGACCTTGACATATGGGAAATTTTTAGTACCGAAGGGGCCAAAACCATGGGACTAAATTTCATATCTTAATGCCAAGACCTTTACTTTTTTACCTATTTAGGTTCGATAATTACCTAAATAGGTAGTCCCATGGGAAATGGGACGAAGATTCTAGGGGTGCCCATGGGAAATGTCAAGGTCTAGGGATGGGTAGTCTTAGAGGATTTGGGCTACGAGTTATAAGCGGACATATAAACCCTGGATTATTAAAGCCCTGTCTCATAAGAGGGAGTTTCATTGGGTATCAATCAATTCGAGTCAATTCTATGTTAGGTGGCTCAAGCAAAAGGAGGAAGTGAAGGTGAACTGATTACCAGGAAGCAAACAGAAAAGCTCTGAATACCAGTCGTAGATCTAGAAAAAAGTAGCTCCATTCAAATCTATAGACCCGTCTGACGCTGATCAACAATATACACCAACTTCTCTCCCGAGACCTTCTTAGCTTTGAGCAAATCCAGTCCCTGAGGAATATCCTCCCAGCTCTCATTCATCACACGGACCGGATGGGCTCTCAGCTCTTTATCCTGCAGCATCCGCTCCACTTCCTCAAACATCTCCCGACCCAACACTCGATGTTTGGGATCCGCCTCCCGGCCGTAGCCCCTATCGAGTGCGATCCGCTTGCCGAAGATGCTCAGCGCCAGCACCCATTCCATGGACACAGCCTTACGTGACCGTAACTCATCGGCAAACGCCTCGAGCCCGCAGTACTTGCCCCCCGCGCGACCGATACTCCTCAGGCAGAGATCAATGGTGGCCGGCTCGGTGATACAGTCCAGAACGTACCGGAGTGTGTCCTTGGTGTAGCTCCGAATCTCTTCGGCGCACCGTTCGGAGTGGTAGTCGAAGACGGCCTCCGCGC